TTATGGTCAAACTTATAAGCTCCTGAGCAACGACTTTTCTGATCTCCAAAAAATTGTGATCAGTGGTGGTGTTGCAGGTTCATTTGCCTCATTTGTGCTTACTCCAGTCGAACTCGTGAAGTKTAAATTGCAGGTTGCAAACTTAAACAACTCGGCCAACAACAATACAGTTTTCAATACCATTTCCAAGACCTTGAAAGAAAACGGAGTCAAGGGTCTTTGGAAAGGACAGAGCAGCACGTTTTTAAGAGAATCACTCGGTGGATGTGTATGGTTTTCCACATACGAGCTATCAAAGAAATATCTAAAAAATAAGAACAACGAGTCTAAACAATGGCATTCACTGGCTAGTGGAGCACTTGCAGGTATCATGTTCAATTTCAGTATTTTCCCTGTTGACACTGTAAAGTCATTGGTTCAAATAGATCACAAAACAACAATTTCAACGGCAATCAAAACCATTTTGAGCCAAAAAGGTATACATGGATTCTACAACGGGTTGGGTATCACGTTGATCAGAGCAGCTCCCGCCAACGCCGTGATTTTCTATACATTTGATATGGTTAACAACTATTTGCTCCATAACAACGATGCGATTTGAAACAGAAAATAATGATAAATGAGTAGTGAAATTTACTTTGTTCTTAATTTTATATATAAAACTATATATTGAAATAGTCATACTTGTAAAACAACTTCTATAAACGATGAAAAATCAATCCATCTTAATGTTTTGTCTTCTCTTAATTTTTAGCAAAATCTTTAAAACATCCATTATTTTTTGCTTAAAGTAAAACAGAAATGCTGAGGTCAACACACTTTGTATGATCTTGGGTTTCAACCCTTTGAAAAGTCCCAAGAACCCATCCTCTTCAATGATCTTTCTGAGCATGCCAATAACTGACTGATCTTTTTGTAAGTGTGACTGCGTTTTAACAGTTATTGTTGGGTAAGTGAGCACAGTTGCTATGATCTTTGAAACAGCGCCCAGGACAAACGACATTCTTGGTGTGATGWCCTCTCTGGAGACATATATCAAGTTTTTCATTTGTTCAAAGATGGAGTACTGGATGACAGGGTTTAAAACCAGTATCAAGGCTGGCTTCAAACCCTTGAACAAGGCCATAACCCCATCGTCACGGATAATCTCCTTGATGGTYCCTATCAATGTTTGATCCTTGGATGARCTTGTAATCAATCTAGTGTTTGCAGTCCATATRGGGTTTGTCGCAATRGCAGTGATGGATCCAGCTATGAACCCTATGGCTGTGGATTCAACAAAGGTCAGATTTTTTCTCTTGGTACGGTTCAATCTGATTTTGCTCAGTGTTTCAAAAAAATAGTAGTAAACAAAGTTTGTTGCWGCTATTCCRGATATRCATGATGAAAGCCCGTTATAAAGTTCACCTTTCTCATAAAGCTGTGCTATTTGATGGACAATGGTTTGCTTTTTCTCTAATGTATCTGCATTCTTAATTGCCTTTCTGGCTTGTAAAATTGTGGATAGAGTCACCAATGGGTATGTTAGTGATATTGAGATAACTCCTGAGACAGACCCAGAAACAGCGTGTTCCATGCTTTGCTTATTTTTTCAGAGTCTTGGATATTGCATAATTTATACATTTTGAGTCATAATCTTATCAGTGTTCGTTTAGTCCAAAAAAAATAAATAAACATTAATGTCGGACTTAAAAAAACATGGTTCCGTGCTTGGTGAAGGTRATTTTCGAAAAAACCAAATCACCTTTTTTTCCTCTCGTTTTACATTTTCTCTCTTTTTTTCTTTTTCTATTCATGAGATTTATTATAGATTTCAAWTTTATAGCCATTAGATATACATGTATGTCTTTAYAATGATACCGAAAAAACATAGGAGTAACCGATTAATAGCCATAACCACCTATAGTTTTATTTGAGCAATMACACCATGAATCAAAGAGAAAAGGAATATTTATTCAGACACGCAACAAAAAATCTTGGATACATTGCCTTGATAGCAGTGTGCACAGCCATAGCCGTGAAATCAACCAACAGAATCAGAAGAGAGAACAAGTTCAACAACCATGGTGAAAGAACAGCTGACGATGTCAAGCTCGGCAGAGGTCTTGACGATGATGAGGCCTACCTGGAATACTTCAAGCAGCAGGCAAAGGTCAATAACACAGAAAACAAACTGTCTTCAGCATACATCAACGATCTTTATGCACAACAAGTGTTGACCAGAAAAGACCGTCACAATTATTCATATTCTATATGGGAAGATTTCTTTGGATTTGGTAAGAAGTAACAATAGAAAAATCAACATGTATATAGCACGAATCTATTTTATTTTTTAAGAAAAACGAAAAATTAATTATAAAAATTTAATTGTTATTAATATATAGGCATCTTGGATTCTGGGCCAAGTATCTTTTCTGCATATTTGTTTCCTCTTCTTCAAAGAAGAATTAGTTTTCAGCTGGAGTTGGTGGAGCAAAGTAATCGTTCATTTGCTTATCCAAATCTTCCAAACTTACTGGAGCTGGCTTCTTGGCGGCCTTGGTCTTCTTGACTGGCTTTTTGGCTGACTTGGCTTTTGTGGCTAAGGCTTTTACTTTTTTCTTGATATCCTTTGAACTGCTGCTTTTAGCATTGGTGTTTGGAATACCGATTCTAGCGGCCAAGGCAGCTGGTTGAGGTTGTCTACTGGTGTCAACAACTAAAGATAATCTCAACTTGGACKTACCATTGTCGATTGGAGCACCGTTGTAATTCTTGACCAAAGCAGCAGCTTGTTCAAAAGTGACAAAGGTGATCATACAGTTACCAGTGGATTTACCATATTGGTTGTAGAATAATTCAATGTTTCTAACACCACCAACAGCAGTGTTGAAGAATTCCTATTATTAAATATAAGTTTGTTAAAAATTTCTAAACGTGACCATCTCTTTTATTACTTTCTCTTTTAAAGGAGTAAAATAAATATAAAAAAAAGGGAAACACAATGAAGACTAATTCAAACCTGTTTTCTGTACTTTATAAAAGATCTCTTTGATACCTAAAAGAAATCACATCCACTAATGTGATGATTTTTAGAAATCAAAGAAATCACGATAAAGACATCATCAACAAGTGTTGCCTTTYCATTGTGTAAACGTCACAGCAAAAATATGCTAAAGAATGAATATGATAATTGTTAGTGAAAAAGAATAAGGGAAAGGTTCAAATGTGGAAAAAGATGAGATGAATTTTCACATGTGCCAAATTATATTTATTWATCTTTTCCGTTTTTCAAATGCCTTTTTTCAAAGTTTTTATAAGTGATTGTATAGCCTTATGAATGTTTATCTATAGCAATAGATARACATTTGGTGAGGTCAAAGGTCGGTGGTCTATGTTATTTTAAACTATGTAGACAGTTCATCAAGTTTCAAACTTCTTTTATAGCAACACTTTAAAAAGAAAACAAACAATGWTTACTATAGTGACTAAGTAGAAAAACAAAAGCAAAGCGCAGTATACTCTTGTCTGTCAAAGATTCATTGAAATACAAATACTCTTTTGAATAGTAAATCAGATGAAACAACAATGAATTCTTTTAAGAATTCACATTTGTTTGTTATGATTTAACAAAACAAAAATTCAGTCACTAAAATGAACTCAACCCCATACACAGTCACAGCGACTAAAAAAAACAGTAAACAGTAGTCCTCTTGTATAAACCATTTCTGTGATGTTATCAGCATATACAAAAGGAAAACTGACTCACAGTGACTTCGAACCCCAAAGATTAAAAAAATATTGTTGTTAAATATTCTTTTTTTTTTTCTATCTTTATCTATAGTTGTTCAAGAACACTTGCAATTCACTAAAGTTAACTATCGAACACTTAATATCAATCCGTGATATTACAAAAAAAGGGACAAAAAAGAAAATAAAAATAATGGATCATGGATATAAACACTCACTAAGTTGAAAATAAGTAAAAGCCAGCTTTCACTTCATTTTTCCATTTTTTCTGTTGGCATTAATTAGCCACATTTAAAAGACATACTTTGATAGATCTTTCGTTAACATCAGCAGGTAAGCCAGCAACAGAAACCTTCTTAGAAAGAATAGCAGCTTGTTGGTTAGAATGTTTCAAGACTTGGTTTTTGTGCTTTTCAGCAATGCTTTGTGCAGTCAATTTGGAAACCTTCAATTGGTGCAAGATTTCAGCCTTGTTGTTATGAGCAGAGACTGGCTTGGAGCCTAGAGCTGGAGATCTTCTTCTACCAGCTTTTTGGAAAGAGATACTCTTACCGTTAGATCCTCTGACAGATCTTTTATTGTTGTTTCTTGGGACTCTAGCACTGGTATTCATGTTGTTGGTTATTTACCTATATTAGATGTATGCGTTAAAWAAGAAAAAGTTAGTGGATAGAAAAACCGATATTAGGTTTACTAGTTTTAGTTATAATGATAAACTTGGTTTTTTATACATTTGTTATGATTGTATGAAAAATAAGTACTTCAACATTTCTCATTTTTTTTTTTGCCACTGTTAAAGGTAGAAAAAACAACAAAGAATACAAGAATTTATTTCCTAAAATTTTTTTTTCCCATAAAAAAAATAAATAATTAGAGAATGGAAAATAGCCGCGTTTATTATATTTCCGATTATCAGTGGGGTGGAAAAATAATCACAGGTCATGTGATTTTTGTTAAGCRAAATAGGATATTTKTGTAAATCAGGGTAACAGTRGTGAAATCAACATTTGAAGTTGTCAATATTTCATTTTTCTCAAAAAAAAGCAGTAAAAAATATATGAGTTTTAGCAGAAGTTCTAAAAAAATTAGAGAGGAAAAAAATAATAATTTTGAACTCTTGAAACATCACCCTTATAAGAATCACCTATAATTAAGATTGAACATCAAATACTTAACATCATCTAATTGTTATATTCTTGTACATAGAGTAAACATACATTACCACAAAAAAAAATAAACACATCAATAACCAAAATTTATAATAGACAACAATGGATTCAAAGACTTTAGGTATTTTAGGTGGTGGTCAATTAGGCAGAATGCTAATTGAAGAAGCCAGCAGAATGAACATCAAGACCATAATTCTGGATGGGGAAAACTCACCAGCCAAGCAAATTTCCAATGGCGAGCACATCAACGGTTCATTCAAGAACAAGGATGACATAAAGGCATTGGCTGCCAAGTGTGATGTTTTAACCATTGAAATTGAGCATGTTGACATTGATACTTTGAAGGAAGTTTCCGCTGAGTATCCAAATTTACAAATCCACCCTTCTCCAGAAACAATAGGGCTTATCAAGGACAAGTACTTACAAAAGTTACACTTAATCAAAAACGATATTAAAGTAGCTGAATCATATGCAATTGAAAACAACACTGTGGAAAGTTTATCATTGATGGGTGAGAAGATTGGATACCCATACTTGTTGAAATCCAGAACTGAAGCTTATGATGGAAGAGGTAACTTCGTGGTATCTGGCCCATCTGAATTGGAAGAGGCTTTAGAATTTTTGAAGAACAGACCTTTGTATGCGGAGAAGTTTGCCCCGTTCGAAAAGGAATTGGCTGTGATGATCATCAAGCAACAAAGTGGAGAGGTGAAGTCATTCCCTGTTGTTGAAACCATTCACCAGCAAAACATCTGTCACACCTGTTATGCTCCAGCCAGAATCGGAGACAAGCAAATTGAACTTGCCAAGGAAATGGCCTTGAAAACCGTAGCAACCTTCCCTGGGTGTGGGATCTTTGGTGTTGAGATGTTCTTGATGAAGGACGGAGATGTTTTGATCAATGAAATTGCACCAAGACCACACAACTCTGGTCATTACACCATTGATGCATGTGTCATCTCCCAATTCGAGGCYCATTTGAGAGCTGTCATGGGCYTACCTATTCCTGAACTAGGATTCATCAGCAASGAAACAAATGCCATCATGTTGAACGTTTTGGGAGATGACAACCAGCCAGGAAAGGAACTGGAACTATGTCAAAGAGCATTAGAAATCAACGGCGGTTCTGTGTATCTATACGGAAAGGAATCAAAGCCAAAGAGAAAGCTAGGCCACATCAACATAGTCAGTGACTCCATGGCATCATGTGAGGATARATTGAAATATGTCGAAGGAACCTCAAAGGCATTGGAAAAGATCCCTAAAGTTGGTGTTATCATGGGTAGTGACTCTGACTTACCTGTTATGAAGGCTGCCTGTGATRTGTTGGCCAAATTCGATATCCCATATGAAGTCACCATTGTATCAGCTCATAGAACCCCGCAAAGAATGTTTGATTACGCAACCTCTGCTAGACAGAGAGGATTGAAGGCCATCATTGCTGGTGCTGGTGGTGCTGCACACTTGCCAGGTATGGTGGCAGCCATGACCAGTCTTCCGGTCATTGGTGTTCCAGTGAAGGGATCTGTTTTGGATGGTGTTGATTCCATGCATTCYATTYTRCAAATGCCTAGAGGTGTGCCAGTTGCCACAGTGGCCATCAACAACTCAACCAACGCTGGTTTGTTAGCAGTAAGAATGCTGGGTGGTGAGYACTCCGCTAARATGGAGTTATTCATGCAAGAACAAGAAAAGGAAGTATTGGAAAAGGCCAAGARAATAGAAAAGATTGGTCATGACGAGTACCTACTTGGTATGAAGAAGTAAAAAAAWCAACGTAAWATAAAGAGATTYTGCTTAATTGTTTTTTTTTTGAATTTTTTTATCTTTATAAAATAAAATTAATTGGGTTTTTTCATTTTKRAAAAAAGATCCCTATTGGTATGATTTACACTTTTTTTTTTTTTCATTTATTTACCTTTATTTTTTAGATTGTCTGATTGTTTCTGGTAACCTTGTAAATCCGACTTATCTGCATTCAAACTCTTATCTCTTTTATTTGCAATTACATTAAGTTCTGAAAAGCTGGGTAAGCGTGGTGATATTGGTGCTGAATTAAAGTGCGACAAATTGTTCAGGGACTGGCTTTTTTCAAGAAACTTGGTGTGGTTGATAGGAKTTATGGCATTTGAGTTGTAATCTTGGTTTTGTGGGTACGTRTTTAAATTTTTTGAATTGAATGCAAATCCTTGCTGAGGAAACATSTGASCCTTTGGCCGATAACTTTGCTGAAAGTTGGGGAAGTTTTGAACCGAAGGAAGATGATATGGCTGGTCTATTGGAGTGTTTTCACARTTRGAATAAGACCTTTCAGAATTAATGTTAGAGTATGATCTTCTATGCAAATKTGGATCATGRATGTTGGSWGGAAAGTAAGGAATAACTTTATTTGGGTTCATGACATGAGTGGGCAGTTGATTAAARTTTTTGTTTTGTTGGRAARGTGGAATTACATTAGGATGCATATGWGGATGGAAGGGAATYATATTATAATAMATGGGAGGMATGCCATGCTGCACATAATTRTGAGGGAAGTTGRTAATGCTTTGATTGTTTGGTCCAATGGGTGGATGYTGGGRATAGACAGGTTGSACATGAGAGCTATTTATCAAGTGATCGTCCATTTTCKGAGCTTGTTTCAGTGTTTTATTATTTTTRTTYACTTTGCCTTTGGGTTTTCTTCCCCCTCTTTTACTAGGAAGGAAAATGCAACCTTCAAGGTTATTTTGTGAGCAGTTTGAGCATTTGCTKTTACCCTCTAAAAAGACAGTAACTTCACCATCACATTTGATTTTYTTACTTCTACARTTGAGACAAGCTCTTTTGGCAACTATTCGTTTAGCTTTTGATTTATCAGAAGAGGTAGTATCCATATTGGAGCCTTATCTATGGGGTTATAATATAAATTTGTTGTTCCTTTTTCAAAATGGAGTGGATTTGTAAATTRGAGAAGATCAGTGAGCTGTTCACTCTTTTTTTTTTTTTGAGGTTTATATATTCAAATATATTTTTTTTTTTTGAGGGTTAGTATATATTTTATACAACAACTTYGTTRAATAAAACCTTATATGTGAAAATGGGTGGAATATAGTTCTTTATGGGGTTGTAWTTTATAATTTAATSTATGATATATAGAGATATATACAAGAAATGTTTTKAYACRCTYTGWTGTTGAATGTTTATCTTTTTATTATGTYACAGTTGGTARYRTTAARYAAWATCTWCCCACTAACACTTCAATCAAGAATKTAAATAASTAAACAAATGTATCTGYTRTACAAAATGCAAAYAACTGTAATTGAAGTTGAAAATTCGTAAGATAATAAACATAGARGAATTTTCAAAAAGCAAAAAAAAAAAGAAATGTTGAACTTTTTTATTTTTTATGTTTTTTTTTTTCCATTTTGGAATTGTRGTAGATCACTTGTTTTTTAGGTGACCCCTTGTTAAAAAAATGAACTGRATTTTGTTTATTTTGAAGTTGTTAATTTGGTTTTCAAAAAACAATTTGTWTGTGCAAATTTTTCACGGCATACTCCATAAATTCTTCATTCTCTTGTGAGAATTATTTGGYTCAAAGAATGTTGAATAAAATTATTAATTCAATGAAATCATTGCAAGTTGAAATTTTTCAGATACATTTCATTTTTATTTACAATAGAAAAACAATATAATTTTTATTCTCAGAAAACGATATATAAAGTTATAATAGTAATAACTATTTCTCTTTAAGARCACAGAGTAATTTGTTAAGAAAATGGTGAATATGGCTTTTCAATAGCAATATTGAGTCTAAAATTGCATGKCTTTTTAGTTGTTTCATAATGAAATAAAATTTAGTCAAAGAAAATAAAAATGAACATGTGAAGAACAATATTATAATTTTAATTATGATTTTTTTTTTTAAAAAAAAACAATGTATATTTAAGAGTTATTTAATTTGTGAATATTCATGRAGAATAKACATGAATAAGTCTATTTTGATTTTAAAATTGAATTTAGATTATTTRATTTGTATACAATAAGCCTCAATCACAAATAAAGTTAATAGAWTATGCTATCATAATTTAAGTTTCGAACAACAAAACAAAAATCGGAGAGGAAGCGATATGGAAGCGATTTTCAAAAAGAAGTAAACAAATATTAAATTTGCTAAGGGAAGCGCATGCATTATGCCCGCACATCCCCTATTCCGATAAATATGATACACCACTGAGTGATGGTTCATATATRATAAGCAAGTACCTAATACCACTGAATAAAAGAAATGCAAATAGAATATATTTTCGTTCCTAAGATATGTGCATTTAATACCTTCTTTTTAGGATGATTCATTTCAGTAATGTACACACGTTTGAATGATTAATTCAGGACAATCAGGTTGATGTAGATCTTTCGCACGTGWCGAATTACTACGTAAAAATATCTAATTYTCAACATTCGGATATAACTACACAAAGTGATCCTTAAAAAAAAAAAAAAAWATTTCATATGGGTGATTAATCGGATTTACAAGAAAAAAATAGTAATGTACCACACTGGGGAAAGATAAAAGTTAGTCAAGGGAAGTACACATAATACCTTTTAACCAYATCGATTACCAATAACCAATAACCAATAACATACACAATGGTAAGAAAAATCAACGGTCTGCAAAAAAGAGCACTCAGCCTATACAAGGARTTCATTAAAATGTCATACACAAAGCCAAAGGTGAATCAGGCAAACTTCAGATATTATTCACACCAGCTCTTTCAAGAAAACTTTAACAAGATCAACAGAAAGGACTTCACAACTATAGAGCATCTGCTTCGATTTGGTGAGAAGAAACTAGAACTGCTTAGYAACAAGAGTGTCAAAAACATAAACCTGTAATCAAACAAAAAGCTAAATTTAGAAATATATATATCTACAAATTCAGTAAGTACTCAATGAACTTTACCCTTTCTTTGAAATCCATCATTTCTCTTTCATTGTTCAGGTCTCTTACCAAGGATGGKGCAAACACCATGGCCAAGTTGTATTTCGTCATTTTGTTTTCACCTTCCAGTTTTGATACCTCAACCATATGACTCAATATCAACTTCAGTGTTTGTTCATGTTCTTTTGGAAGATTCAGCTTAGTCTTAATGTCATTGATTACATCAAAATAGCATGTGTAAGGGATCACAGGAACTAGCAATCTTCTCAAGAATCTCTTGAAACATGACGCCAATAAGTGTACATCCATAAACACCTTGTCCTCAGCAATCATGCTTGTAATCATWAGGTAAAACTCATTGTAATCCAATGCTTGTCTTTTTTTTTTATAATCTCCAATGAACGCTTCATACTTTTCATACAAATCTTTTTCAAATCTCTCAACTAAGGTCTTGGATGCAGCCTTTCTATAAATCCCCTCTTGCTTCATCATGTTGATGTTATTTTGTAAAAAGTCAACAAAGAATCTAATAATGTATGGGATTCCTTCGTGTCCTTCAACCTTACAGTACCCTATAACAGACAGGTCTCTGACTTGAACAACTTGACTGGAGATTGTTGAGAGTTTCGTGTATGTTCCAATATCATTGCCTTCAATGTCATTATACTCTTGTTCCTTTCTTATCAACTCATCCATATCTTTGGGTATCATCTGTGCATTGTTTCCTCCACTAGGAAACAGATTCAGCACTGGTTGGGAAACAGACGACGACATCTTTATGCTGTTCTTATCAATGCTCTTTGTGTTTTTTTCTGTTTTCTGGAATATGTTTTTCCAAAATCTTCCATTATTGCCATTGTTGCTATTTTGGGATACACTGGCTTTATCTGATGCATTGGAAATGTTTGATACCACTGATTCAGATCTCCCATGACTGATTGGCTGACCAACAGTGCTATCAACACTCACCTTTCTCATGTGCTCTTCAGCTGCCTTGATGCTGACATTCAAGTCACTCAACTCTTGCAGYAGCTTGGTTTTCTGATTGGTCAAGCTCTCGACCTCATTGGCTAGTATTCTCTTTGTGTTCTCCARGTTRTAWACATCTATGTTCAGCTTTCTCATTTCTAGCATTCTGCCGTTGATGTCTGTGTTTTTGACACTTCCATTCCCAAACTGGAAACCATCATCCTCCTTCTCAAAGTCACCTGCACTTGTCTTTGGTGTGTTCATGTAGTCCAAAGATGCCTGTCTGGAATGCAATGATCTTTGTAGAGCCGATGATGCTGAAATTGATCTTTGATGTGTGGTTGGATTTTTCTTTTCCTTATTGATGTTCATCATCATGTTCAGCTTCATCTTTGCATGTTGCCCATCCATCAGTGTTTGCTCACTRAGGGGCATTGTAGGATTGCTTGAGTACATGTGGTTAGCCTTAACAAACTTATTTGGTAGTGATGGTAATTCKGAATCCGTTGAMCCAGTTCTTCTGTGGCCTTCAGGTTTAGGTGATTTAGTAAAATTTTGCAAAAACTTCTTAGGGGACTTCAAGGATAAAGATCTTCCCAGTTTCTTTTTCCCATTGTCCTCACTTAATGATTTGTTTAAGTCATAAGAAGAGTTGAATGCTGTCATGTATTCATCCTGGCTGGACTCAACTGTGTTTTCCTTCAGTGGTGATATTTCAGATGTTATTTTCAATGCCATTTGAACAYTCTCATCATTCAAGAATGTCTTGTTGTCCATGAAAAAGGCTGTGTCATCCCCATTATGGAACATGCTAGTGTCTATCTGTCTGTACCCATCATCCTCTATTTCAGAGATAGCATTTTTCAAAGGAGTCCTG